ATATACCATATGCACATGTATGCACATAGACATGCACACCACACACACACCCAGATACACACATGCGCATACACAGTTTGTCCCTAAAAATACAGAATTGGCGGAAGGTTTTTCTATAAATAGACACAGATAGAGATGGATATGTCACAGTATTATGCCACCTCAAAAGATTTTGAGAAACAAAAATGTTACTTGAACATATAACTATGTGGCTTGTTGGTAGTTTTTTTGTTTTGCTTTATTATATTTTTAGATTGCATTAAGTGAAATTTTGCTGCTTTAAATTCTTTACAAACAAGGAATTAAAAGGAATTTAAAAAAATGCTTTATTCTAATGACTAGGTGGCAAGTAAAAGAAAATCCCACCATAAATCATAATTAAAATGATAGCTTTTAAATATTGGCACGACTACAATGATTCTTTTTTTCCCCCCTTTTAAGTAAATGTTTCCAGTCTGGAAGACAATCAGATATCTCCTAGGTTGTTGATATTAAGATAACTCTTTTTGTGATTTCTGAATTCTTGAGAGCATTGTATCAAAATAAGGCAGTATATAATCTTAATGAATCTTTATTTTAAAGGCTTATGTTATCTTAAAAAGTAAAATTATCTTTGTGATACTATCTTAGAATTACTCTTCAATAATAATGATTAAAGGATAATTTCTGTTTTTAACAGGGTCTAGACTTTATGGGATTGAAGGCGAATGATGAAAAGTGAGATAACACTCGGGGAAAAATATCCTCTATAAACAAAGATTAAAAGATTTTTTAAAATTGGTTTCTGGACCCCAACGAATTCTCAGTGCTTGAGTATCTTTGTGTAACATTTACCCACTAATCAAACACTTGATTCTCTGCTGCTTGAAACTTCAGTTTTATTGCTTCATAAGCTAGGATGACACATTTCAATTTACAATTACATGACTTACAATCAATTCAATTTACAATTATATGACTTACAGTTAATAACTGAAAATGTACAAAAACCATGAAAACATCTTTTAGAGATTTGTATTCCTTTGCAAAGAGGGAAAAGAAATCTGCAGTTACTAGTGTCAAATCCTTAAGAAAAAAATCAGAGTCAAAACTATTAAACCACACTAAGCTATTAAGCGCAAGTAATTGAAAACAGTGGTTCAAAAATAGAGACCTGTATCTTGGTCTGCCCTTGGGGCCCCTTGGATGCTCCCTGAGCACAGTTTCCATCTTCCGAGCTCTCTGCTCACTTTGTATCTCCCAAGAAAATGCGGTTAACTTATCTGTTTACAGAACTATCTTCCTGACTCAATGCCACACCTTGCCCAGCATACAGAGGGCCTTTGTAATTATATGTGTAATGAACAAATAATTTATGAATAGTACTTACTCTGTGCTGACTTTGGAGCTTTCATGTAGATTGCAAATAAGTTATAAAGATTGTTTCCACATTTTGTCACTCTTTAAACAACTCACTTTTGAAGCCCCTACAAATATATGCAAAATCAATTTTAGAAACATTTATGTCATGACCTACTTTTTAACTCAGTCACTCACTCTACTGGTTCAAGGTAAAAAACAAAACAAACCAAAACAAACAAACAAACAAAAACCCCGTGATAATCTTTTTCTTCTTTACATCTTCTTTACTTAATATAGAAGAATTTTATATTTTCCCTTTTTTAATAAACTTTATAACAATCAGATATTTAAAGTTTATTTGTTTGTTCTGAGAGAGAGGGAGGGGCAGAGAGAGAGGGAGAGAGAGTCCCAAGTAGGCTCTACAACTGTCAGTGCAGAGCCCAATACAGGGGTTGATCTCACAAACATCCATGAAAGAAATCATGACCTGAGCTGAAATCAAGAATCAGACACTTAACCGACTGAGCCACCCAGGTGCTCCCTCAATAAGATATTTAGATTAGAACAAATATCCATAACTATCTGTTCTAAGTTTATTTCTGAAATGTGAGTGAATTTTACCGTCATAAAAAAGAAAACAGAAAAGAGTAGGATTTGACATATTGAAAGGACTCAAAGAAATATTCATCTAGACTAGAGACCAAATAAAATGAGCTAAAGATTAAACCAATTGACAGATGGTGGATATGCATTCTGTGTACCTTCTATTTTCAGTCCAATGATACACAGTGATACTCTGTAAAATCACTATAATATTCTAGATCAGCATGTTTAGAGTTGCAGTTTTGCGAGAGATTGTTTGCAGAAAGTGAATATACCTGACAATACTGAATGAACTGTAAAAATAGCTCTGATGGTAAATTTTTTAAAAATGTTTATTTATTTATTTTGAGAGAAGGATAGAGAGCAAGGGAGAGGCAGAGAGAGAGGGAGATAGAATCCCAAGCAGGCTCCACACTGTCAGCACAGAACCTGACATGGGGCTCAAACCCACAAACCATGAGATCATGACCTGAGCTGAAATCAAGAGTCAGATGCTCAACTGACTGAGCCACCCAGATACCTCTAAGATGGTAAATTTTATGTTACGGATATTTTATCACAATTAAAGATAATAATAAAAATGAATCATCGAAGAAAAAAATACCTTGAGAGAGGATACATTGAGCTCATAGGTCCAAATACAAAGCAAAGTTACTATAAATTCAAGATGACACCTTTACAGGAGAGGAGAAGAACAGTGGCTTCAGTGTTTCTGCTACTAATGATTACAAATAAACAAACAATTAAAAAACAACTGGAAGAAGGGAGACTGGGTGGCTCAGTCGGCTGAGTTTTCGGCTCAGGTCATAATCTCATTGTTCCTGGGTTCAAGCCCAGCGTGGAGACCCATAGAGGGCTTGTAGGGTCTCCATGCTGACAGTGTGGAGCCTGCTTGGGATTCTCTCTCTCCCTCTCACAGCCCCTCCCCCATTCTCTCTCCCTCTCTGTCACTCTCTCTTTCTCCCTCTGTCTGTCTACCTCCCTCCCTCTCAACATAAATAAATAAACTTAAAACACACAAGCAAACAAAACTGGAAGAAACTTTCAACTTTTCCTGCCAGCTGTGGTGTTCTACTTTTACTCCTCTTTCATTTATTTATTTAAGACCTCATGATTCTGGGTTGATGATTGACTGTTGTCTTTTGGCCTAGGCATGGCCCGTTTTGATTCATTTATTTACTAACTTGAATTGCTTAGTTATTTTAAACTATGCATTAAATACCCGAAAAGGCACCATCCAGAACAAAAGCTAAGATCTCATAAATAATCTGTTTCTTACCACCAGTTTGTCTTTTTCCTTCCAGTCGGGACAACCATTTTTTTTCTGAATCCTGTATTCATCACCCCCTAGTTTTCATTTTTACATATTTATTGCATCTACACATACGATAAAAGTGTCTATTTTCTTTTAGTTGTTTTTGACACTATTCTAAGTGGATCATTCTGTTTGTAATTTGGGGGACTGCACTTTTTTTTACCTAATAGCAAATTGCTAAGATCTGTCCATATTATTTTTTATTACTGTAGTCTATTTATATTTTATGGACGGCTACTCTTCAGAATTGTGTGAAAGTATAAATGCCGAGAATTAAACCAGTTTGCAATAAATAGCATCTTTAGGTCCTTATTGTGAACCACATCGAGTTTAACTCATCATTTGATCCTACCTCCTGGTCAGCCACCCTGTCTAGGTACACCTTAGGCTTGCAATTTGCAGCATGTAATTTGCAGCATTTACTTCATTTAAAAATCTTAGTTATTTTATTGAATTTGTCTAGTACGAGTCTGAGTGGTATTCTCTGTTCTTCTTTACTCAGAGACATAAAACCCTGAAATCTCACTATGAAGATAATACCATATAAACATTTGTGACTCCTGAGTCATTTGTGAGTTCCAGGCTTAACAAGGCTTTTTCAGTGCATTCCCTCAGGATATTTTCTTTTTTTCCTTACCTATTAAAACATTTTCGGCTAACATTGGTAAGAAACATAATAAAAGTTTATCAGAGCTCTTGGAATATATATATATGTATATATATATTATATATATACATATATATATATGTATATATATATATATATGTATATATATATTATAAGTAACTCAGAAGTTGCTTTTCTTGTTTCTTCTTGCCTGTAGCTTAACAGGGAGCATTTCTTTCTTTAAACTAATGGAGTAAAATAACTGTTTGAAACTTCATTTGCAAAACCTTCTTGACAGAATTCCTAAACTTTGTTAAAAACAAAACAAAACCTTTGTAATAAATTCAAGACAGTTAAAGCATGATTAAGAGCTACCAACCAAGGGATTTGCTGCTCTTGTCCTTAATCACTTGCCCAGATAATAATTATTATATAGTGGTGGAGACCCCTCTACTTCAGGAGACGGACTTTGGGTCATATTTTGGCTTTGCTGGTGACTATGTTCATGGCCCGTGACATGTTATTTAGTGGCTGTGTGAATAAGTTTTCTGATGTGAAAATGAGGAGAGTAAGTCCAGCCATCTCATAGGGTCATTGTGAGATTTCAGTAAGATGAAGCATGTATAATATTTAACTAAGTGAAAGATGCGTATGAGCTCCGCACGCGTTAAATATTGCCAGGAAATCCACACTGGTCTTTGACTTGGAGTGATAACTTTTGCTTGTAACCAAGTGCCGTTTTCCAACATTCGCTGCACATGTTTATAATGCACCACCACTCTGAGTGAGCACAGAAAAACAGCATAAATAAAATCTCTTACTTAAACAGATGCGAACCTGAACTGCCGACACCACAATAAGATTTTATGGCCTTCTCAACATAACTTATCTATTATTAAATACATTTGAAAAGAAATTAGAAGATTATAATATGCAAATAGATAGTTCTGTAGTTCATTTTATTTTTTTATGGTGGCTTTGGAAAATATTTAAATCTCAAAATTCTTACATCATATCTAATAACATGCCCATAGTTTGACATCCACTCTTCAGCTTCACACAGTCATTTTCCTAATTAGAATTGTAAGGTGTTTTAGATATTCAGATTCTGACACACTTTGAAATGTCTTACAGATTTATTGGCCCGCTGCGAAGGAAAGAGTGGAATTATGTAAATTAGCCGGGAAAGATGCCAATGTAAGTACGAGACTTTAAAACTATCTTTGTTGAACTGGTACTGATATGATAGTAAAATTTTTATTGGATTTTATTGAATTATTGGCATCAGTGTATTATTTTTAAGACTGCATTAATATTCTCTATAAAGATTAAGAAGATATAAAATATTTCTACCTTGCCAAAAGGAATAACACTATTCTCAGAAATTTAGAAATACAGGACTTCCTAAAGTGTTAATTGTAAATATTATTATTTTCTTCACATGAATCTCAGAAATGCACCTAAAACATTAAAAATAGATCGTCAGAAAATATTATATTTCTAGGATTTTACGTTTGTTATTTATATGCATGGATTTTGGAAATGCACACAAAATCATGAGGTTCTGCAGCACCATAAACACACAATTGATACTTAATTTAATTTGGGTTAATTAAACTTATGGCCTCTAGAAGAAGAATTTCAAAAGTTGGCATATTAAGAAAGATTGGGTGAAATGAATGGCATAAATTCTGGGATAAGAACCAGAAGTAATGTACTCTAAAATTTACTTAAGCATAATCATATGACGTAACCTATAAAGGATAAATAATGGAGTTCTAATACAAACTTCTGGTGTAAGCTGACTTATGGACCAGAGAAAACCCTTAGATACATGTGACTAACCTAGTTGCTTTGTGTGTGTGGCCAGGAGGTCCTGTCCGAATTGCTTTTGCACTGTCCACAGTGTTCTGCGTTCTTCTCCGCGCTGCATTGCCTGTTCTATCTCCACCAGTAACAGAAGAGGGCTGGGGTTCTTTCTGCCTCTTCTCAGCAAAGGGTTCTGATTCAGGACGGATGCTCTGTGTTCTGCCCTGACTTCTTGTACTGTGGTGACAGGGAGAATTGCTCACTTGCTTGCTTGCTTTCTCTTTCTTTCTCTTCCTTCCTTTCTTTCTTCCTTCCTTCCTTCCTTTCTTTTTTGTTTTTGACAAATCGCTTCCTGAATGTAACTCAAGGTGAAAAGAGGTTCTAATTTTTTTTTTCAACGTTTATTTATTTTTGGGACAGAGAGAGACAGAGCATGAACGGGGGAGGGGCAGAGAGAGAGGGAGACACAGAATCGGAAACAGGCTCCAGGCTCTGAGCCATCAGCCCAGAGCCCGACGCGGGGCTCGAACTCACGGACCGCAAGATCGTGACCTGGCTGAAGTCGGACGCTTAACTGACTGCGCCACCCAGGCACCCCAGGATGTTCTAAACCTTGAACATGGATATCCTGAGGCTTCCTTTACAGTATTCTCTAATGTTGCTGTAAACACAGTAATGCAGGGGTGTTTTGCTGAGCAATGCTTTATATTTAATAACAATTAATAGTGTGCGTTATATATAGGAAAGCATAATGAGATATAAAAATTCTCACTTGATCAATGTGATAAAACAACATGACATATGATGTCTAATATAATTACGAGAAGCTTAGAAGACTAAGAATTTGAGACAACTGGTTTGTTCACCCATTTTGTTTATTCAGCAAATACTAGAGTGTAAATATGTCCATAACTATATATATGAAAGGATACAGTATCTGCTATCATGAGTTTTTAATACTCAGTAACAACACTGCAAAACAAAATAATCAAAACAACACGAAGGAAAACTTTTGATTATGCCTGACTTTGTATTCCTTTAATGTTAAATGTGGTCTTTGCAGGCACATTTATGTTAATAGAAATATATCAGGGGATGTCAGCAGCAAATGCAACAGGAAACAGCTGTCACATTTATTTTACTTGAAATGAAAAAGATCAAACTCTTCCAAAATATATTCTTCCTCCCATGTCTCTAATCGCTTCACCCTGTTCACTACGCTACTGAGCGGGTGCTCAGCTCTGCAAATCCTCAATACTTTTTTTGTATTTGTGGGGAAAAAAAAGATGCAGTATTTATGAGAGGCTTCAAAATTAATTTAATAACAATAAGAGCATGCCATACACAGTATGAACACCAGAATATTTTGTATTTTCCCAGTATTGACTGCGTGACAAGGGGACAATAGGAAAAGGGTGGTTTAAATTTCCTCCAATAAACTAATGTCAATATTCCCATGGAGCAGATGAGGGGTAAATACTCAAGGTCAAACAATCAGTGAAGGTTTCAGTTGTGACAGTGTTCTTATTTCAGTATGTTCGCTACTCCCAGTTAGAGAGTAACTCAGTTGCCCTTATTATTAAGTTAAATCAAAGGGTGATAAACTTTTCAGGAGGTGGGGTCCTAGAGCATATACGACCCAATATATGGAACCTATACTTGCAAGTTGAGTTGTATTTGGGAGCTAGTAATCACCTCTAACCTTGAAGCACACCTACTGCTACCCCAAGATTAGAGATATGGGAAGCTTTTCCCTCTGTACTGAAATCTGTAAAGTTTGATGTTGAATCATGTGGGGATAATACAACTCTTCGCCTCCTTCTTTTTAATCTGTCACTGTAAAATAATATATTTTAGAATTACTAAGAATAGGGGCGCCTGGGTGGCGCAGTCGGTTAAGCGTCCGACTTCAGCCAGGTCACGATCTCGCGGTCCGTGAGTTCGAGCCCCGCGTCAGGCTCTGGGCTGATGGCTCAGAGCCTGGAGCCTGTTTCTGATTCTGTGTCTCCCTCTCTCTCTGCCCCTCCCCCGTTCATGCTCTGTCTCTCTCTGTCCCAAAAATAAATAAACGTTGAAAGAAAAAATTAAAAAAAAAAAAAAAAAAAGAATAGCTAACACTTTTATAGCACTTACCATGCTCTGGGAACTGCTTTCAATGCTTTATAAGCCCCCCTCATCCTTTTAATCATACTAAATGCAAGGTTTTAATGTTTTCTAGATGAAAAGACTGAACCCAGAAAAATCAAATGGGTTGCCCAATATCACATCTAATAAATAGTGAAACCGTGAATTGAATCTAGAAGTCTTGCCCCATAGTCCGTGTTCTTACTTATACAACACTGTGATCTACACGTCTGAATTCTACATATAAGGTCTGAAAACCTTACCCCTCAAACTGTACCCCTCGAATCACTTCCCCTTCAATATCCCGTAATAGAGCCTCGATTTCCAGCATTGCATAGATTTCAGCCAACAGAAAACTGAGGCAAGTGTGTGGTTTTATTGACCTCTTTTACTGCCTTTGGCATTACCCTCTCTCCTCCCTTCTCTCTAGTAATTTTTACCTACTTCCCAAGAGTGCTTTTAGGATTAACAAGTGTTTGGAAAGACTGTCCCTTTACACACAGGTACTATATAACTGAAAAATAGTGAATTATTTACCATAATGAAAGTTAGCTAATTGGGGTGGGGATGGAATAGAAGATGTGGATACAAAAGAGAACTATTCCCCTTTCTTGACCAGTCTCCAGTTTAGTCCAAAGAAAGGAAATAGTGGCAGGAAGCTATTTGATAGCATTTTGTTTCTGCTTAGAATATTTTTCAAAAGAAAGTCACTAAAAAAGTGTCTTTGGTCCTGACTATAAAGAGTGGAGCAAACAGCTCAGTCCAGGCAAAAGAACACACAGGATGTGGGCAGCCTGGGTTCTGTTTGTCATCTTAACCCTAGAGGCACACAACCTCGTTAACAGAGACATTACGTAGAATTCAAGGATCTTCCATGGGTAAAGTCCTATGATTACATTCTTTCTTCTTTTTGTGAAAGAACATCTAAAAGTGAAACAAAGTGCTCATTGTAGAAAGTTTGCAAATTACATGGACGTCATCTGTAAATATCTCCTCCCCCATGAACATTACCCAGAGATAGCTGGTGACGTTTTGATGTTTATTCTTCTATCTTATCTATTTACTATTTTTCAGAATGAAATCATTGTATACATAGTCCCTTACAACATTTCTTTTTTTTTGCTTTGCAAACTGCCATGAGCATTTTCCCATGTCATTAAATTCCTTTTTATAACACTACTTTTAATAGCTACACTGCATTCCTTTATATATTATTTCATCAATCCTCTATTGTTAGAAGTTTGGTATATATCCAGTTTTTAACTTTTGTAAGTGATGCTTCACGTGAAAAATCTTATACATAAATATTGTGAACATCTTTGATTACTGAGTAGAATTACTGGTCAGAGGATATAATTTTTTTTAGGATATAAAAGTTTTTATGCCCATCACAAAATTACCCTCCAGAAAGTTGATGCCTTTGTGCCTTAACCAGCAATGTGTGCTGGTGAGAGGATATTATTTTACCCTACTCTTGCTAATAGTGGGTACAACGTGTGGTTAATATTTAATGCTAAGACGTAAATGAATAAAATAAATGTATTTCATCCTGGCCAACAAAAAGACAGTTATTTTTGTTATTTTTGCCTGAGATTCTTCCATTACTAGAAGTACTAAATATTTTATATTTGGTAGGATATCATATCCCTATAATTTGTTCATTTTTAAGTTTTAGTGTTTGCCTTTTCCTTACTGGTTATTTACAGATTTTTAAGATATATATATTGTTGTATCATATTATTATACATATTTTCCAGAAAAAAAATATATATACAGTTTATTATTACTTTGTGATCCCCTTATATAGAAAATATTCTTTTCCAGTTATCCTATTTGGTCTGTAGACTTTTGAATTTTAAATATTTACCATTGAGCTATAATTACTAAATTTTAAATGTTTAAATAGGCATCTCTCTCTCTCTCTCTCTCTCTCTCTCTCTCTCTCTCTCTCTCTCTTTTTCTTTAAAGTATTTTATTTTGTCCTGGCACTACAGCTAGTTTTTGCTCTGTAGAAATTTCTACTTTGGATCTTCCATTTTTAAGAGAGAAATATGATATTTGTATTTTCATGTATTTATTTTGAGTTGTCAACAACTAATGAAAATATTTTCAGCCCTGTAAGACCTAAACAGTTCCCTGTGTAGCCTTGATTCTATTCTGAGGTCTTTTAGACAAACCTGACCTGTAGCATGTGAAAAGACTTTACTGATGACCAAAACATTTGATGATCACTATTATTCTGCAAAATATACTAAAAGTAAAAACAAACCAGATCCCTAAGTCACGAGTGTCTTTCCATATATAACCTAAATAAGTTAAAATTGGCAATTATAAGTTAGTTATCAGAAACATATATAAAGCTATATTAGATTTAATTGGACTATATATAAGTCTAGAGAATTATAGTTACTGGATTTCTGTTTTCTTTTTTTTTTTTTTTTCAGGTGTCTAGGGAGAAACTCAAATTCCAAGTGCTGACACGTAATACAGATAGATATTAGCTTTTTTTTCTGAGTATTAATTCAGTATTATATTTGTCTTACTTATTTAATTACATATATGTGAATAAATGTATATGTGAGGTAAAATATTGAAATGTTATTTGAGAGAATTAGAAAGTTGATACTAGTTTTAAATTTTCTGTTTCTCTTTTTCTTCCAATGGGAGTGTTGGTTGGAGGGAAGGAGAGTAGGTGGGAAGAATAAGGAAGGAAGGAGAAATTCAATATTTTTCCAAAGTTGAGTATATTACTTAATTGAATTGTTTGTTCCCATGTGACCACCCTTGCAGTTGTGGGGAATAGCTGACAAATTAGCCAGATTTCAGGGGAAGTTAAAAAAGCTGCTTCTCAAAGTTATCTTTCTTCATGCCTCACAGAATTACGCTACCATTAATAGACGTGCAGGTTGCTAAGTGAATTAAATCAAGTTAATCATTGCTCCTGCTATTGAAGCAAAACTTGATCTTGTAGGATCTTTGTTCCCAGGTTTCTTTTCCCTCAAGCAACCCAACCCTTTTCATTGCCTTCAGGAACTACCTTCTACCAACTTCACTACTGAACACTTTGAGCAGAACTGACTTTTTCATAAAGTGTCAGACAATTCAGGACTCACCCACAAATTGTTGTATTCTATGTCAGCCCAATCTGGGATGCGGGAGGGATTTCATAAGTAAATCACTGCTAATATCTCACTAGGTCAGATACTAACTTGGTAAGTTACTTTCTAGGACTGGCTGCATTTTAATAAAGTACTCCTACACAAGTTCAGGGATGTGAAATATTTCAGGTGTGATTCTGTCTCCTCTGTATTAAACTTCACCCTGGCTTATTACCCTTTTTGAAACAATTGCTATGTCTCTCGTAGTCCCCAATCTTTCTGACTCTATAATTTATAATCTGGAAAGGGAGTTGTTTTATTTTTTTTTATACAAATATGTATGTCAGAATCTTGTAAAATTACTGTCTTGGTCAGCTGGGCTACTATAACAAAATATCGTAAACTAGGTGGTTTAAACAATAGACATTTATTTCTCACTGTTCTGGACGCTGTTAAGTTCAAGATCAAAGTGCAGGCAGACTTGGTCCCTGATGAAAATTCTCTTCCTGGCTTGCAGATGGCCATGATCCTGTCATATCTTCACATGGCAAAGAGAGAGAGGGGAGGGGGGAGAGGGAGAGAGAGAGAAGAGAGTTCTTCCTGTTCCTTCCCATAAGGGCACTCACTAATCCCACCATGATGATCCTACTCTCCAAAAGCTAATTACCTCCAAAGACCCCACCTCCTATTACCATCTCATTGAGGGGCTTAGGGTTTCAACCAATGAGTTTTGGAGGACACAAATACTCAGTTCACAACAATTACCCTCTAAATTCTATGACTGTTCGTAAAACTGACCTTTTTAAAAAATGATGAAATAATGGGCAGTGAATCCGTCTCTCCTCACTCCAGCAGTGTAATTCTGCTCTTCCCTTTCCTGTGGACTGTTCCTTGTATAGATCTTACCCTTGCATATAAATCTCTTTGTGGGGGAAAGATCAAGAAATAAAAGTCCCTTCGGTGAGCATGAGTGAGCCAAATAAAGGCCGGAGAATACTAAAACCTGTCATCCTAGTGACGAAGCCATCGTTACACCTTATCTGGTGATCACAGACATTTTTTCCACTTTTTGTCTTGGCTGTTCTCGTCTCTGTTATTTGTTCAAAATCATTAGTGTGGCATATGTACTGTCGGAATTAGATTTGCATTTGAGATTGCCTAACATGATATTAAAGAACATGAAGCGAGTCCCCTATGGTGCCTTTGTGCACATAGAAAATAAGTTCTCTCCATCAGACACATTGATAGAAAGGTGGAAAACTGACACAATAGGATTTTGTTAAGCAAGGCTATTTGCTAGAAAACTGTCTTAGTGAATTTAAATTTTTCCTTTCTTAGGGGTGCCTGGGTGGCTCCATGGGTTGAGCATTACACTCTTGATTTCAGCTCAGGTCGTGATCCCAGAGTCGTGGGCCCGAGCCCCACATCAGGCTCTGCACTGAGATGGAGCCTACTTAAGATTCTTTCTCCCTCTGTCCCTCTTCGCACTCACACGCTCTCTCTCTCTAAAATAAATAATAGAGGGGCGCCTGGGTGGCTCAGTTGGTTAAGCGTCTGACTTCGGCTCAGGTCACGATCTCACGGTTCATGGATTTGAGCCCCACATCAGGCTCTGTGCTGACAACTTGGAGCCTGGACCCTGCTTCTGATTCCGTCTCTCCCTCTCTCTCTGCCCCTCCCCTGCTCATGCTGTCTCTCTCTGTCTCTCAAAAATAAATAAATGTAAAAAAAAAATTTTAATAAAATAAAATAAATTAAATGATAGATAGATAAGTAAATAATTTCCTTTCTTAAGAGTTTGCATATAGTAAATATATGAGAACATATACAAAACATATGAAAATATTCAAAATGATAAAGATGTCGATAGTGTGATTTGCACATTTAGATGTGCCTTTTTGTTTGTTTTTGTTTTTCAGCATACAACCTAAGTAACCATATGCAGTGGCCCCATTAGAGAGTGCGAAGTCTGCCCGCTTGATAAAAAAACATCCTTTTCTTGTGTAGGTGCCCGAGGGACTGATAGTGATACTGTCTTTTCATATAGTCTTAAGCAACTGCTTTGGTTATAGCGAAGCAGAGAACAGAAGGCCCCATGAGTTCATTGTGACATTCTTCTAGGCTAGAATGTACATCTTTTATTAACTGGCATCTATGAAATCTCAAGACATCAAACTGCAAGGCGAGCTGGCCGAAGGAAGTACTAAGGACGAGGAACTCTGTACCACAGAGATGCAGACGTAGCTTTTCACTCTCAAATCTGGGTAGCCACTGGGATAGTGATATTTTATTTAGATCAAAATCAGGGTTGGGTGCCTGGGCGGCTGAGTCAGTTGAGCCTCCGACTTCGGCCCAGGTCATGATCTCACGGCTCATGAGTTGGAGCCCCGCGTCAGGCTCTGTGCTGACAGCTTGGAGGCTGGAGCCTGCTTCGGATTCTGTGTCTCCCTCTCTCTCTGCCCCTCTCCCACTCATGCTCTGTCTCTCTCAAAAATAAAATAAAAACATAATTTAAAAAAATCAGGGTAAATAATAATTATTAATGTTACATCATTTAACTTAATTCACCTAAGAATCCTGTCAGTTAAGTTGTTGTCTGCTTTTGAAAATTTTATGTAATTTTAAAAGCCACCCTGCCCTGCCAGTTAGGTCACTGTTTTTTGGTGTTGGGGTTTTTGGTAATACATTCCTTCTTAACAACCCAATAAGAGTGACCACTAGGTCAATGTCTGACTGGTGAGGAAATCGTGGACATTCAGGTAGGAAAGAACTAGACTTTTCCTATGAATCCCAGTGGCTTCATTAGGTTTCTTCCTTCCTTAGTGAACACTCACTCATCTCCTAGATAGAATCAATCTAGAATAAAAGTGTACTCCAGCCCATGTTTTCTCAAGGGTTTTGGGGTCTGGGAACCATGAAGCCGTGGTTAAGATCATTCCCAATAATTATGTAAAGATAAGGAATTATTTATCAGAGGTAAATAGAAAAGTAATGTATGATAACAGAAATGACTACTCTGAAAAATTGAGTCACTATTTATAAGTAACTAAGATAATAATTAAGTTATAACAATAATAATGCAAAGAAATATTTCTAAGACTAAGCATATGCAAAACAAGCAGGAATCTATAAATCTCTTCAAGACTTTGAGCCCGTGTAAAAATACGTATGGGAAAAACAAAAGATTCTTAGAACAAGCAGGAGTTGATTTGAGTCTTAAAGGCTCTGTAACATTGAAAATAAGTGGAAATAAAGTAATAGGGCATTCCACCCAATAAGAATGGAATACATATATGAGAATACACGTCTGTGTTCAGTGTTTTGCTCAGTGGAGCTGAGACAGTTGATGTTGTAAGCAGTAGACAATGTGGGAACATCAGAATGTGACAGGTTTTGTTCTCTAGGTGATTCATGAAGCAACGTGTGGATATCTCATTCTGTTTATATACATTCTCTGGGCCCCTTGAATACCTATAGAGATGTATGTTCTAAGACCCTGATTAGTTCAAAACCTGTAAAACTTCAGACAGCTTCAGTCGCTCGTTTAAGGCAGTTTCTAATATGTTTTGCCTCCTTTGCTAAATCAGATGTTTAAAGACTTCTCATAAATCTTTTTTTTTTTTCATTTTTGCTGCTATTCTTGATAATTTATCTACTTGGAAAGCAGGTGGTATGAATCAATCTTTGTGTGCTAATGCTTTTATTTTTTTGTGTGTCCAATAGACAGAATGTGCAAATTTCATCCGTGTACTTCAGCCCTACAACAAAACTCACATTTATGTGTGTGGAACTGGAGCATTTCATCCAATATGTGGTTATATTGATCTTGGAGTCTACAAGGAGGTAATATAATGAAATAGAATGAAAACAGTTAGTTGTCATAATGTTACTTAATGTCTTTGACATGAAGCAGTCAGATTTGAATATAAAATTTGAATCATACAGTTTATAAGAACTCATGTTCCCAACCATCTGATGGATTGCCATTTTGATTATACACTTTATCTACCTAATAACATTTTTATTAGAAGTTTTTTTAATGAGAAGATTAAAATTAAAAGGACATAATGTTGAAAGTGCTTGTTTTCTGTGGGCTCTATGTATGTTGTTATTTTCTCTTGAGTTTCCGTTATAATTAGATCTATATAGTATGTTGCTGTTAGTAAAAATCCACGTCCCATAAGGCTTTGCAGTGGAATTGTATCTTATAAATAATTTCATTTTCCCCATTTGGCAAATTTGGACCTGTTACGTATGGTTACAATGGTGCACACTAAGCACAGAGGATTTTAATTATTGTCTTAAAATTGTATAGGTAGTCATTAGCACACTGAACTCATGATTTCTGCCGGATCAAATTGACATAGTAGAAATAAAGGTTGTACTAAATTAGGAATAATATATTCCAGCTATCAGTGAGCATTTTAATAAATGAGAAGCATGCAGATTTCAGTAACTTAATTAATAACTAATACATTAAAGCACCTTCTTTGGGTCATGGACTGTGCCAGGCACGGTACATGGATGGTTTCTTTGAAATTGCACGACGCTCTTAATTGAAGTTAATACCTTTGTAACTCCCAACTTACAAGTTAGTAAAAATGGAGTCTCAGTGGAATTAAATAACACGCGTGAAATCTCCCAGCTAATAAGTGGTCCTGCAAGGAATTGGACCAAAGCAGTCTGTCTCCAGAGCAAGCATGCCCACCTGAGATTCAGAATACATACTCTAAATTGCTTCTTTCTATGGGTTTGATGGGTTGTACTGTCATCCTTATGTTTGTGTATATACTACTTGTGAATAACCACACATATTTGCAGGATAATTGGCTGTGTGTTTGAAAGCAAAGTCTAGGCGTATGGAACAAGTTTCTTTACATTGATTTAACTGATTCATGCAGAGATCAAACCCACAGCTGTGGCTGGATTAATTTTCCTCTCTAACCAACTTGTCTAACCAGCCCATTCTCAACCGTTTGAAAATAAAGCAACTTTCATAGTTAAATCTCTGAACCACTAGGAGACTTGGCAACTTGAATCCATCATTCTTTGTTGCTGGTGTAATGTTCTCTTGCCTAGCTTTGATGAAGGGTAATATATAACAGTAGCTCATAGCATAGGGTGTAATTATATGAGATAGCCCCACAGCTTGGATGTGTTTTGAGGCTTGAGGCTAAAGGCCAAACTCACAACTTGCTGAGGGGTGCAAATAGTGTTCTTTAACTCCTAAAAGTCACAAGTGCTGAAAGGGAATTTAGATGGAGCTAATTACTTAGCTTGGGACTGTCAAGCAGCCCCGGGGCAGTCAGATTTATAAGTTCTGTGAACGCAAGAATTATGAGTGAGCAGGGATATGGAATCTTGTGTGTTTTCCATTGGTCAGGAGTACAGGTAATTGCACGATGATGCTGCTTGAAGATGGTTAACTTTTTAAATGAATTGTGAGTCCCAGGAATTCCTTGTCCTTCCAGAACGAATTTAGAAGCCTCTTAGATTATTAGGTAAAGTTGCTCCTAAAGTGGCTGGAAAGAGGAACCAGCAATGAGAAGAAAGAGGAAAAAAAAAAGCCTCAAATGAATGCCAGATTTCTGTCTTTGGCAGTGAATCGGAGAGTGGTATTACTTATTGAGGTGAGAATAGTAATAACTTTGGGAGGGAAATGGTAAGTTGGTTTTGTACATTCTGAATCTGACAAATGCAGGTCATACCAACTGGGCGTTTGGATCCTGGTTCAGGACAGAAGGCAGGGCAGTTGTTAACAGCTAATAGTTAGCGCATGGGGAGCCAGGGTTTGAATTATGGCTTCAGCCATTTACCAGCTCCATAGTCTTATCCACCCTGCATAAAATTTCCAAGCTTCTGTTTATTTAGGAAAAAGATAATGATAATAATAGAAACTATCTCACAGAGTTATTTTGAGGAGAAAATGAGAAAATGCTTTTGGCCAAGTACTTGCTTCCTTCCAGTAACTTAGTACTCAGTCATATTAGGCAGTAGGAACACAGAAAGGCAAAAAGGCTAGGATTTTAAAAGTGTATGTTTAAACTTCATGTGAAAATAATGTCTGCAATATATTTATGCATGTATGTGTATGTATAGTGTGTGTATACACACACATTCAATATATATATTATTCTGTGTGTGTGTGTGTGTGTGTATGTGTGTGTATATGTGTGTATATATATATATTCCGTGACACTGAGAATACCTGATAGTTGTTGAGTAATTACATTGTAAGTGTGTTCTTTGCTCTGGGATCTCCCCTGTGCTGCTGCTTATCTCTTTAATTGTGGGTGGTATTAATAATAACTTTGCCTCGTTGCTATGTTGATTAAATGTTTCCTATCATGCTTATCTCTCTACTTCAACAACATATGTCTGTGCACAGCTTAGATAGGTACATTTTGCTTAATTAATTAGGCTTAGGGAATTTAATAGGACAAGTCTTACAAAACTGAAGCTGTCTCAAAAGTTAGCGTCATGTAATTTAGTCCATTTATCTTGGAAAGGCCGTTTAATCAACCATTATTTTTTTACATGATATTCTTATTGGTGTCCTTGACTCTGGCTTAAGGAAACTTGCTTTCCTGATATTTTCTTTCCTCACTCGATTATAAGAGAGACCTTGAACTAAGCCTTCACGGATACCAATTTTATGGACTTATCTTGAGAATTTAATAAAGTGAAACATCTTAAAAACAGAAGTCTGTACAATTATGAGCGTTTATCCAGTACTTTTGATTAACTGTGCCACTCTCTGGTTTTCTTGGTTTTTCTTTCTTACCTTTTTACTATAATCTTCTGGCACACCAGGATTCAGTTTACTTCCTGTCCCATTACAATATCCCATTATAGGCTTTAGGGTCTACAGTTCTGTTTGACCTATGGAAAATAATGTGCTCTTAATGATATTTAAACATACATAAGAGGGGCGCCTGGGTGGTGCAGTCGGTTAAGCGTCCGACTTCAGCCAGGTCACGATCTCGCGGTCCGTGAGTTCGAGCCCCGCGTCAGGCTCTGGCTGATGGCTCAGAGCCTGGAGCCTGTTTCCGATTCTGTGTCTCCCTCTCTCTCTGCCCCTCCCCCGTTCATGCTCTGTCTCTCTCTGTCCCAAAGAAAATAAATAAACGTTGAAAAAAAAAAAATTTAAACATACATAAGAGCCACTATCTGAAGGTGTTTTTTTTTTTTTTAATTTTTTTGTTTTTGTTTTTTTTTTCCTCCCTGACATATCTCTAGCCCCATTCCCAGTTGGGAAGCATGCCCTAAATGTGTTCTCACTGGACTTTTTTCGTGCTTAGGCTACACTATCACAGGTTGTCATTAGCTGGCCTGTTCTAACCAAACATACTTGGATTTGATCATATTACACGGTCATGGTGGGTCTACAAGTTGATTTCAACACGTTTTTAAATCCACGGGTTTGAAATTCTTAGATGAAATTAGTTAACAGCATGAATTTTGGGGACACCCTTGAGAGTTCTTTGCCTCTTACTAGCTATATGATACAGAACAAGATACTTAACCCCTTCTAGCCTCAGTATTCCACTGGTAAAGCTGGAACTCTTAAAGTAGCTATGTCCTTCGGCTTATGGTGAGGATTCAGTGAGATAATGTACATAAATTTCCTGGCCCATGGTTAATACCTATTAACAGCCGGGACTTTTCCTGTTCGCATTAAAGTGCATTTACTTAAAACGATGAAATAGCATTTGACAATCATGCTATTTAAATTGCTACCACTATTTTTTAATTAGGTGGTAGTTACTATGGGTTCCGTTTAGAAGAAATACACAAATCTGAAATGATGACATCACACAACAAATAATCCAATTTCCTCCCTCCTTTTTGCTTCCTTGCTTACTTTCTAGATAAGTAGTTTTAAATATTATTACATGTGTGTTCTGATATAACGTGGTAGATACACCCTCTAGAGAAAATGTCTGAAATGCTGAGATTCTCTAACTAGTGCATATGTGGGGTGAGTCAGCCTTTCTGCTGGATGGTAGTGTTGTCATTGTTATGAAACACTCAAACTCATGGGGCCATATTCATTATACATTCATATTTTTCTTGGAAAGTTCAACTTAAGATGTTGTTTTTTCCTGAATATTAAAAGTCTGCCAATGTCATTCTGTCTGTGGCCACTATTATAAAAATAGATATTTCAGCCAAAATAACTATGTGGTTTTAATGTGTACAGTGTTTTCATAATAGTGAAAATACTACAACAGGGTTTTTTTTTTTTTTTTTTTTTTTTTTTTTTTTTTTTTTTTTTTTTTGGCCCACATGTATCAACAGCTCTGTAAATGTACTCCCTGTCTTAGAATGCTTTTATGTCTCTAAAATCACAAAATGTCACAAGCTTATTTTGGTATAGTTGCAGATGCTTGAGTAAACAAACCACAATAGTAATGAAAGTATAATTATTATAGTAAATTAATTTCTTCCTTTTTTTTTTTTCTTTTTTAAAGTAATCTCTATACACCCAACGTGGGGCTTGAACTCATGATCCTGAGATCAAGAGTTGCATGCTTCACTGACTGAGCCAGGCGGGCTCCCCATAAATTCATTTCTTAAATGAGGAAATTAGCTTATTAGCCTCAGTGAATTTGTTTTGAGGCTTAAGAAATATGTATGCTTGATGGTGATTTTGATAATGAGAGCGGTCCAGACTTAGTGAATTGATTACATTACCACTTCCGATTGAAAAATTAATTCAGTATTATCATTACTACTTTGGGCAAACACAGACCAAGCCATGGGAATTGAGCCATGCCAGAAATAATATTTGCTAAAGAGTTAAGGAGCACAGCCTGATGCACATGCTATATTCAATCAGTTTTTGTTGAATTAATGAGTTAGAGTTTAGTTCTTATCTCCTATCTTCTTGCTGATTCTGCTGTTTTAAAAAATCTCACTTGTGTTAATATTTCTCATAACAGGAAGTTATATTCAAACTAGACACACATAATTTGGAGTCTGGCAGACTGAAATGTCCTTTTGATCCTCAGCAGCCTTTTGCTTCGGTAATGACAGGTAAGAGCAATGGCAGGCTGTTCTTGCTTTTAGGTGATTTTCTGAAAAGGTATGTGTAGATTAAACCACAGTTTCTTGCTGCATTAAAGATTATTTTGGATTACTCTTTCACTGGCTATTTGGTTACAGTATTTTAGTGCCAAGTCTCTATATTTAGCATCCTTATCCTAGGTGAGGCCCCAGCAATCTTTCATTTCTACACAGTTTTTATTTACTTTCATTATTTTTTTAAATGTGTATTTATTTATTTTGAGAGAGAGAGAAAGAGAGCATGTGAGAGAATCCCAAGTAGGGCTGTGCTTGGGAACCCACAAACCATGAGATGAACCGTGAGATCATGACCTGAGCCAAAGTCAAGAGTTAGACGCTTAACCAGTTGAGCCTCCCAGACACCCCTCTGCACAGTTTTTAAATGAACTTCTGGTTGAATTCTTTTTAATGCAAATGACACGTACTTACTTGTTCTATAATTCTGTATTTAGATGGCAGATTTTCTTATACTACACTATGTCCTGTTTGGCTTACTTTGGAAGTTAAATTTAGCAATTCTTTAAACATGATAAAATACAAAATATGTTGAAGAATTGAGTGGAAGGATTAATAATAAGATAGAGTGGATAAATTAATAAAACAAATGGTAGAATACAGATAATATAGAATACAGATGATAGAATGTTGTAAGACTTTTTCTTCCAATTTCACCCTTACTTGATTGTATTCATGGAAATGCAAAATGTTTGCAAACATATTCAATCTTCTCTTGCTTTGTCTACATCATAAATTCAACTTGAGAGGTGACTATCCTGTTTAAAGAAGGCAGTACCGTGTGGTCTGAAGTCTGTTCAGAGGAATGTCGGCACGACCTCTGAATTTTAACCATTATAAGGACTCCTTTTGTCTCGGTTTCGTTCATGACTTTGCTCTCTTTTTATTTAACTTGTCTATCAAATGTTTGAATAGACGATAAGAGTGAAGCACCATGGCATTTTAATTTTCACCTAGTGAGAACTAGTGATCTTCCTTTGAAGTGAAAGCGTGTGTGTTTTTGTGTGTTTTGAAAATTGTATGACTAATGTTCAGTCATTATCCTCAGAAAGTGAGATAGATGATTTGGGATTCTGATCTGTCAAGTGGGGCTGACAGATCCTTAATAAAAACAATGGATTGTAGGCATTGGTGACCCCCCCCCCCCTTACAAATCCCTAAGTGATTTAAATACAAAGAAGACAGTTTTAAAGCCTGGATAGACAGATAAAATTTTTAGGTTGAAACATACCATTTTTTTTCCTGACAAAATGTTCAGATATCCAGTGTTATATGTTTGAAATGAATGGTTTGTTTCCTTTACTCGTACCAGATAATGTCTTTGTTGATGTTGGTATTTCTGCTCTTCCATTTTTAAAAACGTGTCCCGCAATGAAATATTGTTATTTACCGTGTATTTTAGGGGAGTGCTTTAAGAGATGAAAGTAGTATCGTATCTACATTTACTTTACCTAACTGGATTTCTCTCTTTTGTGTTTTGTTTTGTTTTACATTTTTCCCTTTCAAAATTGACGCTTGTCATTATTAGATTGGTTGACTCAAATAGCTCATTAGAAGATAATTTAGATGGATATAATCAGAGGATTTAGGAACTCTGTCAACCACTTATAGGAAGCCAGAATTTTAAAGATAATGTTTCTGTGGAAAATTGGATTTTAGTGATAAAACGTCTTTAGTTCTTCTTATATTTAATCGTTTAAAAATCTAAATCCTCTGTAGAGATTAGCTTTTTTTTTTTTTTTTTTTTTTTTTTTTTTTTTTTTATTTTGGTCTGTTAGGTATACTGAACATTGTTGACTACAAAGGTTTCTCGAATAGAGGCTTAGCTGTCAAAGGGGCAGGATTTTGTGCTGTAGGGACAGCATTCTTCTCTCTCCCCCTCCAAATGCTGACTGGCATTAGGGAACACTAACCCCTACCCCCTCCGCTTCTCTGCCCCAATCCTTGCTGTTCCCCCTTTTCCCCCATCTCTGCTTTCTGTTCTTTCTCCCTCCCCTCCTTCCCATCTTTCTCCTTCCCTTCTTCCTCCCCAGACCTCTTTCTTCTCTCCTCTCCTTTCTCCTCTGCCTCCCCACCCCCTACTTCTCAGTCTCCGGTAAAACATGGATATGCATTTTACATAAATAACAGGACAAAGAAGTTTGGTATGCCGTAATAGCCACATCTTTGCCTTTTCAGGGATTCCTGTTTATCAGAGCCATTAGAGATGTGATTAGCTCCAAGGAATGCAACATGTTATAATTACAAAGAATGACTTCAGTGCTGAAAGCTTCCTTTCAGCAGAGGTTAGGCACAGAAAAGTTGTGGTCATTGGGGTTGTGCCGGTTAAGTAAATACTAATTACACAATCCATTCCTCATTATGGCATTTGCTTTTTAATATTTTTTTGCATGTGTTGCTACAAAGACAAACTCCTAATTATGACGTAACCTTGAACTATTTGGGGGGAGAGGGAAAAGAAGGAAGAGCTTATTCATAAGTGAAGCTCATGCACTTGCAATGATTAATTCGGAAGTCTTTGGCCATTTTTATATTCAGGAGTCTAGCGTCAGCTTGCAAAGTTCATGGAGTTATATTTTCTATGACCATGCAAATTTTTCAGAATTTGAACATGATACTTATGACACAGTGTATCTTCTCCTGTTAAGCAGTAAATGTCTCCTGTTCATGCACTGAATGTAGTATATTGCAAACAGTATCTGCTGCTGTACGCTTAATAGTCCTATGTATTCTCTTCTCCCTCTCAGATGAGTACCTCTACTCTGGAACAGCTTCTGATTTCCTTGGCAAAGATACCGCATTCACGCGGTCCCTTGGGCCTACTCACGACCACCATTACATCAGAACTGACATTTCAGAGCACTACTGGCTCAATGGTTAGTGATTTTCTGACTTTTCATTTTTTTTTTTTTTTTTTTGCCTTTGCTTTTGGGTAGATAAGAAGCTCATTATTATTCACTCAGATGTGTTTTGGGATAAGTGGTTTAGCTTAACACAATAAAATGCATTTGATATAATTCCCCACTAAGTTAGACAGCTCTCCAGACCCTGTTGTGTATATAATAATAGCTGACATGTACTGACAGTGTGCTATTGTCCTTGACGCTGTTCCATGCTCTAATTGATTTTTTAAATGTCCACAATGACATATGAGGTATACATTATTATTATGTGCTTTTTAAAGATGAACAAACTAGGTAGAGTGATTTGGTCGAGTTCTTATAACTTGTCAGTTATAGAGCCCGGGGTTCGAGTTGGCAGTCTTTCCCCTGCAGCCTGTTTTTTTGTTGTTGTTTTGTTTTGTTTTTGTTTTTAAAATTTTTTTAAATGTTTCTTTCTTTCTTTTTTTGAGAGACAGAGACAGAGTGTGAGCAGGGGAGGGGCAGAGAGAGAGGGAGAGACAGAATTGAAGTAGGCTCCAGGCTCTGAGCTGTTAGTACAGAGCCCAATGTGGGGCTCGAACTCACAAACTGTGAGAACCTGATCTGAGCCAAAGTGGGAGACTTAACCAACAGAGCCACCCAGATGCCCCTCCTGCAGCCTGGTTTTTAATGACTAAGCCAAATACTGTCTATGAGCCTAATGAAAACAGGTTAGGTTATAATGTTGACTTCTTTTGTTTAAAGATAATTTATTTGGGTTGACGTGTCCCTCCAGAATTTAAAGCATATTAATATCGACATTGGTTTTTCTGATTACTTTTTTGTTTATAGGTCACACAGAACTCTGAGATAAAAAAAATCCACTAATGAATTAATTGATTAATTAATTAATTTATGTTTGTTACTTCTTTGTTTATTCTCTCCTGCTGTACAGGAGGTCAATTTTTGGCATGATAGTCCAGTGTTTTCTAATTATCATAGAACTTTCTTGCACAGTGGGGCAGAATAACATAACATTACTGTCTAAGCAGGCAGATAGCATTTCTCATTCCCACCATAAATATTGGGTTTTAGTGGGGGAGGCCTGGGTAGACATTTCCTAGGGGCTATCTCTCTATCTCTCAGTATCATTTGAGCAGTGACAACATAAACAAAAGGGAAAACACTTTAAAACATTTCTTTAGTCAAAACCTCCTGAACCATTTGTTTACCCAACAATAGGATCTCCCTTGGCCAAAAGAGAACCCTATTAGTGTGGAAAACAAATATAGAATATCTCCAGCTATGCGATTACTCATTACTTTCTTTACACTTGTACAAGGCAAGACTATCTTCTTGAGCTTTTTGAGGTTTTTGTGAAAATAGTTGGTTTGAGACGGACTTCATAGATTTTACCCAATAGAAAAACGTACCTATCTGTTTAGGTAACAAGATATACTTACGGCCTAAAATGAAGTATAGATTTTCTTTCTCAGTCTCGAGATGGCAAAAACCATATTGCCACTCTTTTCAGAGATTATTCTATGTATTCCTTAACAATGGCATGTCCATAAAGAGGTCTGCAGCACTGCTGAATTAATAAATGTAGAGAATCTCTATTCAACTCTTATTTGACTAGCATGCTGTGCTGAGTGCTGTGTGAAGACTATTGCAAATTAGGAAGCCTTGAGTTGGTTTAGCATTTAATAAACAACATTTGAGGACCCTTGGCATACTGAGTGCTGTTCTGCTCCTGGGCATGCAAAGATTACATGGGAGGGTTACTGACCTCATTGATGATGACTGCCCGAAGCATCAGAAGAGAGTGGGAGATGGGGCTAGAAAACTGTAAATATCCTGAAATCATGGGGAAGTTAGCTGTGGTTAAGCTCTTTTTCTTTCTTTTCTTTTCTTTTCTTTTCTTTTCTTTTCTTTTCTTTTCTTTTCTCTTCTTTTCTTTTCTCTTCTTTTCCTTTCTTTTCTCTTTCTTTCTTTCTTTCTTTCTTTCTTTCTTTCTTTCTAGATATAATTGATATATAACACTATATTAGTTTCAAGTGTACAATATAACGATTTGATATTTGTATATATTGCAAAATGATCACCACAGTAAGTCTAGTTAACATCCATCACCATACAGAGTTGAAAATATTTTTTGTGTGTGAGAGAACTTCTAAGATCTACTCTCTTAGCAACTTTCAAATACGCAGTATGTGTATTAACTATAATCACCATGCTGTACATTACATCCCCATGACTTACTTATTTTCTAACTGGAAGTTTGTGCCTTTTGACCCCCTTCACCCATACCCTGAACTTAATCAGGGAAATGGATCTTTGTTTTTGTTTGTTTGTTTGTTTGTTTGTTTGTTTTTTATAAAGGTGACTGACAGTAGCATGAAGGGAAAATTAAAGGAGAACAGGGGTAGAGAAAGAAGCCATTATAAGGAAACAGGAAAAAGGTGGGACAGGAACATAAGTATTGACTGTGGACACGGATGTGAGAATATACAGCAACAAATATTTGAAACAGAAGATGTTTGTTTGGGAATAGAAGAAGCCAAGAATATGAGGTCGAATTCAAGAGATTTTGGATACTGAGAAAACTTTGCAGTGAGAGAAGTCAGCAGAAAGGAAGAAAGGGGAAAGGATACACAGTAGAGAATTCTCAATGGATTGAATGCAGGAAAATGACTAAGAGTTAGGAGAACTAACATTTATGGTTCTAGGACATTCAAGGCAGATCGCTTAGTGGTTAATGTCCCAGGGGACCATATAACCTGGTTTGCCCCGGGCATTTCCAGTCTGCCTCTAATGTTCTGTAACTCTCAAAAGTGTCCTACTCTAGATGAGAATCACAGCTGTGTTTCTGTAGAATATACTTACCTCGGCTTAAAGCCTAAATATCACTTTGTGACCTTGGTCAAACCTTTCTGTGCATCTAAATTCTTAGTCAAAAATTTGGCATAATAATAGTTATTCACAGTGTGTTCTAAGGATTAAATTAGATCATAAAGGGAAGATCATATTGGGAAATCTGATGGAAGACAATTTTAAGAGCAGTTCAGTGTCAATATTGTCATCACCATCATTATTATTGTCCTTGAAGGTGAGAAAGGCAGGAGGTTGGACTAAAACGCTGAATCCTCTGTGATTCACTGACATCTGTTTAGCATTTCTGTTGACCACCTTTCTTTCTCTCTGTCTACATGGTAATTCTGTGAGCTCATCCATTCTCAGAACTTCAACTGCGTCCTGTGTTCCATTTCTTCCTAAAACTGTATTTCCAAACCTTTTTCTGCAACTCAGAGCCCTTAAGAACTTTTTGGGGGGGTACCTTACATCTTCATCCCAGTTTAAAAGAAAGAAACTGATTGTTTTATATGGGAATAAAGATATTTAAACCTAATAAAGTATATTAGTGCCACTGATGTACTTTGATTTTTTTTAACAAGTTGTTACAAGTTGTGATCCTTTGCTTGAGTTTCTTTAAAAATATGTAGATACAGATACAGATATATAAAAGACTAATTGGATCTAAAAACCAAAATCCTGTGAATCTAATTTAAAATTATCTTGTTTTCCCTTTCTAATCTGCCCTTCAATACCAGTTTCCTGATTTCTGTCTTAACTTTCTAAACATTGTCTACCCTATTACCTTGAAGTTATCTTTGATTTCTTCCTCTTCCCGGTCCCCTTTATCTTATCTATCACTAGAGGCCTTTACTTCCTTTAAAATATCTATTGACCTTGTTCTTTTCATGACCACCATCTTTCTATAGGTCTTTATCACCTTATCCTTGGGTTCTTGACACTATTTTATTGTTTGTTAATTCATTTCCTTCTCTTCTGTTTCAAATTTATTTTATATAGTATCCATGCTGGTCACTATTTTAGGCACTTTTGAAGTATTATTTTATCTAGTGGTATAATCTTGAGAGAATTACTATTCCCATTTTATATTTGAGGATAGATTAGAAGTCAGATATATTGTTCATAGGTACCTAGTAGATATGAGATTAAAACTCAGGGATGTCTCTCTTGCTCTAGACACATTTTTTAAATATATATTTTATAATGCATTATGTGATCCAACCAAATTCTGCTCTTTTGACTGCACGTCCTGTGCTCTTGGAGCCTCATTTACAGACAGGGTTCATGTTTGCATGTCATGTTATGCAATAGCAAACTGAGAATGTGGGTTTGGTTGTAGGCACTAGAGAAGATAGAGAAAATGTGGTCAGGTAAGTGATGTGGAAGACCTCAGCAGAATCTGTGAAGTCAGGGTGAGTGCAAGCATCAGATCAGATGTCAGGTCACAATTAGAAGAGCACGACGCTTCAGGAGACCCCTTCAGCCAAGGAGCTTCTCGGTCCATGGAAACTAGGACGCAGTAGGGGAGAAATTACAGAAACTATGTGAGATTCTTGTAATGGGGAAGTACTTTACAGACTAAGGCAAAAGATTGGGTTGTGTAAGGAGCATTTCTCCCTTCTGAGAAGCATGCATTTTCTGGGTTGTTGTCAACATGGGGTCCAAAGACAGAGGTCAGTGAATCATCCGGAGTGTGGGGAACAAAAAACAGTGATAGAGGAACTCTGAAGATTATTAGGAATAATGTTGTCATTGAATGATCTTATTCAACCTCATATTCCATAAGTTAATACAGCTTGAAGAATGTGAATCCAGGTCTCTTAGTTCCCCAGACCATCCTTCCATCCCAATACCAAACTTCTGAAAGGAATAGTGTATACATATCTCCTGAACCGCAAGTCTGCCATTTTGGTGGCAGTTGTGGGAATAAAGGTTGTTTCTGCCTTAACACTGGATTTGACCTATCAGTTACTGATATAGACTGCTTGACATAAAGCTGCACTATCTAATATAGTAGACACTAGCCACATGTAAACTTAAATTAATTAAACACATTGAAAATTTGTTTCCTTAGTCATACCAGGCACATTTCACACGCTCACTAGCCACATGGGCTAGGGGCTATCATTTTGGACAGCACA